AACTAAATAACATCTTTATGGAAGCAGGCGACACCAGAGTATTTCAGACATGAGTTGTTGTTGTTGTTATAGCAGCCTTACGAGCTATGTTATTTGAATGACACCTACATTTCGGCGGAAACCCAACATACTGCACACGACTGATTAAATTTAGGTTGATGCTTCAAAGAACGCTGGACATGTTGACAGAAATCTCTAAAGGAATCGATAAGGATAACCCACCTGCGAAACCGGGTGATGTCTTTGAACGTGAATACTCGCCATGACGGCTGAACTGCAAGCAGATGGACCGTATGAAGCACCCAGCTGGACAGTATGCGCTCTATGAGTAATCAGTGGTTTTGCCACGAGGTTGGTGAAGGAAGAACTGGACGCTCCACTGTGCATCCGGCTGTTCAACTCCCGGCGTGCGTGTTCCGTTGTTTTACCTGCAGGTGTTGTACGTGTGTGTGCTTGGAATTGCTCCGTCAGGGATTTCGCTCCAGTCTTTGAAAACACCGAGTTCGTGTTTAAAGTACATGCTACGGGCAATTCCATTACACAGTGTGACTGAAGCATAGAAGTTGGAAATACATACGAGTCTCAAGGTTGACTTCATGTAGGATGAATAACACAGACCTCAATGAAGAGGGTGACCCTATCATTAACATGTGCATCACCTGGACCACTAAATCAGACACTTAACATTTATGTTTCATTCTTTAGTCGCAAAGTTCAGAAATCCGAAACTCCCCTCAGCAACTGAGGTAACAGTAAACAAAGCTTGGTTTTCCGTATTGAACTATGCTCAGAAGACAGCGAAACTCAAACTATTGGAGTTTTTAACATCATGAGCTGGCGGCAACCAAGCTTCTGACACGCTACAATATGGTGGTCACGGAAAAAAAGCATGGAAAAGCTAGACGATTCGTGGTTGCAACTTCCGCTTGTTAACGCAAGAATCTGTGGTGTTTTCTGAGCTGTTACGTCCATTATTTCAATATGTTGGTTTACTTAAAGTGTGACGAGCCCGATCAGTGACAACATATGTCTCACTAACACACTAAACGTATTAGTTGGAAGGATCCCTAACTAAAACTGCATTCTTTCAAAAGTTCAACGTCGCTTTATGGATGAACTGTGGCTGTTGTGTCCATTCTCATTCAGGATTGGAAACCAGAGTCTGAAATGGCTCCGTGCGAGTGGACAGTATCTGCTGTGTAGACGCAACCCATAAGCCGAATATATGAAGTCGTCTAACCAAATGCTTTTTGTTGTGCGGTAAATTTGAAGCCATTTTATCTGGATTTGCATATCGATTACATTGGAAATAAAGGATTTAAGCGGTTGCGTCAATTCGAGCTGCTCTTTAGTTTTCGGACTTTTTCCAGGGAAGTAAATGAATGGTCATTTTCTGATCCAACGAGGTTGAACCAATTTCCTGCTTCTGACTTATTAAAATATACGAAAGTATCAAAGTCAAGTTTCACGTACACGAGAAAAACATGATGATTCGTAAAAGAATGCTTACGTTTGAATCTGATGACAAACTAGAAGAGAGTTCAGGTTGGATATTCGGTTGGGATTCCTGGATGGCACTTTGAATGGGCTTACCGGTGCATGAAGGCTGAAGTTTTAAGAAACCAGAGTGAATTAGGGAATTCGCATACCTGTCCAGACAATTGGTTATGGCATTTTACAAAAATGTTTGAACCTGTCGTCAGCATTAGTATCATTCAAAAAGCCCACAAACTAGTTACGAATTCTGCCCTACCAGAGGTTAAGATGTTAAATCCAACCCTCTCTAACTCATAGTGTATCGATCTTAGCACTCTTCTGTTTCGCCGAATGAGAAATCGGTGAGTCAAACAGAATGATCCTTCCAATAAAGAACGTCTGCTGGAAAATATTCAAGTAGGCCTGTTGGGGATTGATCTCTCGTGGGGAGAACCGAGTTTACAGNTGACGGTACACTACTCATAGGGTTGCTGAAAATTCTTCACCAGCCAACGAGCGGTTTCAGGCCTCTTGGGGCGCAATCCTAGAGTTCCTCCAAACTTATGTTCTACCTAAACGTAAATCTGACAGATTTCGACAAATACACTCATTTGTGTATCGGTTTGGTTTTCACGAGAAATTTAACTTAATCTCCCGTTTGTGATATTCTCCATATTAATGTGCTGCACAAAGGCCGTCTCATGTTCCAGTTGGTACGATATTCGATATTCATCGATATTCATCAAGAAGAATATCATAAACGATAGGTTCTCCCGTGAAAACCAAATTGATATGCTAGTATTCATTTCCAATTTGTTAAAACCGGATTCGGATGTATAGATTCCTCGACAAACGTCACTGCGGCACTGAAGTGATTAAGCTCGGACACCCTAACTGAAGATCCGAAGTCATCAACTTCGTCTTCCCAAAGTCTTATGCTCTCAGGTAAGCATTCAATCAGTAAAAATGCGTAGCAGTCTACAATACTTTTCTGGCAAATTCTGTTCTCACTGACCGAACACATTCAGGTTGAAAATGATAGGATTGAATACTACAAGTTGGTGCATTTTCTCTCATTGGTTCTGTGCTTTACTGCACTATGGCCTTAATCAGTCAAGCACACTCAACTGACAATCAAAAACTGCACAGTGATCTGTGTTGAAGTGATCAGTCGTAGTACATGGCAAGTGTATTCTTGCATGTGTCCAGTCCCATTATTTGAAATTACAGGCCATCAAGCCCGACAAGGTTGCAGACTGCATTCAGTGAGGTGGTCAGAGTAACTGAACGATCAAGTGCGCACCTATAATGTCTTGGGGAAGTGCAAATACCCTTCTTGATCAATGGCTTGGGTGGTATTTTTCTGGAATAGTGCAAATGGTCAGAGAGTGAAGAGTGAGGTTCTGGCAATTTAAAACTGATCTATCAATGGCCTGGATATACCTCAGCAGGGCCACCCTGTGCTTAAAATATGCTACAACTAAATAACATCTTTATGGAAGCAGGCGACACCAGAGTATTTCAGACATGAGTTGTTGTTGTTATAGCAGCCTTACGAGCTATGTTATTTGAATGACACCTACATTTCGGCGGAAACCCAACATACTGCACACGACTGATTAAATTTAGGTTGATGCTTCAAAGAACGCTGGACATGTTGACAGAAATCTCTAAAGGAATCGATAAGGATAACCCACCTGCGAAACCGGGTGATGTCTTTGAACGTGAATACTCGCCATGACGGCTGAACTGCAAGCAGATGGACCGTATGAAGCACCCAGCTGGACAGTATGCGCTCTATGAGTAATCAGTGGTTTTGCCACGAGGTTGGTGAAGGAAGAACTGGACGGTCCACTGTGCATCCGGCTGTTCAACTCCCGGCGTGCGTGTTCCGTTGTTTTACCTGCAGGTGTTGTACGTGTGTGTGCTTGGAATTGCTCCGTCAGGGATTTCGCTCCAGTCTTTGAAAACACCGAGTTCGTGTTTAAAGTACATGCTACGGGCAATTCCATTACACAGTGTGACTGAAGCATAGAAGTTGGAAATACATACGAGTCTCAAGGTTGACTTCATGTAGGATGAATAACACAGACCTCAATGAAGAGGGTGACCCTATCATTAACATGTGCATCACCTGGACCACTAAATCAGACACTTAACATTTATGTTTCATTCTTTAGTCGCAAAGTTCAGAAATCCGAAACTCCCCTCAGCAACTGAGGTAACAGTAAACAAAGCTTGGTTTTCCGTATTGAACTATGCTCAGAAGACAGCGAAACTCAAACTATTGGAGTTTTTAACATCATGAGCTGGCGGCAACCAAGCTTCTGACACGCTACAATATGGTGGTCACGGAAAAAAAGCATGGAAAAGCTAGACGATTCGTGATTGCAACTTCCGCTTGTTAACGCAAGAATCTGTGGTGTTTTCTGAGCTGTTACGTCCATTATTTCAATATGTTGGTTTACTTAAAGTGTGACGAGCCCGATCAGTGACAACATATGTCTCACTAACACACTAAACGTATTAGTTGGAAGGATCCCTAACTAAAACTGCATTCTTTCAAAAGTTCAACGTCGCTTTATGGATGAACTGTGGCTGTTGTGTCCATTCTCATTCAGGATTGGAAACCAGAGTCTGAAATGGCTCCGTGCGAGTGGACAGTATCTGCTGTGTAGACGCAACCCATAAGCCGAATATATGAAGTCGTCTAACCAAATGCTTTTTGTTGTGCGGTAAATTTGAAGCCATTTTATCTGGATTTGCATATCGATTACATTGGAAATAAAGGATTTAAGCGGTTGCGTCAATTCGAGCTGCTCTTTCGTTTTCGGACTTTTTCCAGGGAAGTAAATGAATGGTCATTTTCTGATCCAACGAGGTTGAACCAATTTCCTGCTTCTGACTTATTAAAATATACGAAAGTATCAAAGTCAAGTTTCACGTACACGAGAAAAACATGATGATTCGTAAAAGAATGCTTACGTTTGAATCTGACGACAAACTAGAAGAGAGTTCAGGCCGGATATTCGGTTGGGATTCCTGGATGGCACTTTGAATGGGCTTACCGGTGCATGAAGGCTGAAGTTTTAAGAAACCAGAGTGAATTAGGGAATTCGCATACCTGTCCAGACAATTGGTTATGGCATTTTACAAAAATGTTTGAACCTGTCGTCAGCATTAGTATCATTCAAAAAGCCCACAAACTAGTTACGAATTCTGCCCTACCAGAGGTTAAGATGTTAAATCCAACCCTCTCTAACTCATAGTGTATCGATCCTAGCACTCTTCTGTTTCGCCGAATGA